GTGCCAAGCTCGGGTGTCGGAGGCGTCCCGGGACGTTTTCCCTAGTGTAGGCTTTTGCGCCCGAGTATTATGTGTGAGAATCGTGGAATGAGTGTGTTGGTATGCCTGTTTTGCCATTTTATTAAATATAGGGTTAGGTAGGATAGGTAGTATACTTCTGGTATGTCTGTTAATTATAAGTAGGTAGGGCCGGGCAGGTTGTCACAGTCTCTGATCGGGTAGGCGCGTTTTCGCGTGACAACCTGTTTCAGGGAATAAAATTTGAGAAATCGAGGGCGAAGCTGAGACAAATGGACGACAGTGCTATTCGTCTCTGGCTTTGTTCATCGATTTTTCGAATTTCGCGGTCGCGGTCGCGAGGTTGATTTCGAAACGAACGTTGCGCTCGAGATTCTGCGCATGTGCGGACAATGGTCAGTAATGACTATTGGTCGTCCATGTGCACTTAGTTTCCGCGATTTAGTCCCTTTTTCTTTTTCTTTTTTTCTTTGATTTACGATCAGTGAATCTCGAGCCTAGATTTAAGTTTCAGCGGGCATTGCGCCCGAAGAAAGAAGACCGAAGAGGCCCGACAAACTGTCACGAAGAGGGCTGCAACGAATGGCCTCTCATTTTTTGGATCTTGCCTGGGTCCAAAGAATGGGAAGTCATTGTTACTACTTTGTCATTGTGCTCTTTTTAGTAATACGTAGTATATGTTGTTGTATCGTCTGGCCAATTTGCATGCTGGCCCATCGTTCATCCAGTCATCATGGGCAAATCGCGGTTTTGCATTAGTGTTGCGATTGATTGATAACGGGTTGAATTAGCGTTTGCTATAGTGTTGCGTTAAAAAAATATCGCGGTTGCTTTTAATTATTTTTATTATGATTGTTAGTCTATTTTTTATTGTTTTTTTTTTATATAAATTTAAATTTATAAATAATATAATGCAGCGATTTATAATATCGTGATATTTAAAATAGCTTTTTAGATTTACAGAATAATAATAAGTTTTGTATTAAATTCATTTGAAGAATTAGTGTTGCGTTCAAAAATGATCGCGTTTTTTATAGTAGCGTTGCGTTTATAAATTGCCCATTTCTTCCATTTGGACTGTGGAAGTACCTTCCAGCTCTTGAATCATCCATTGCAGCCAAAAAGACTGCAGGAAGGATGATTGTACGACGGCAGTCTCTGACTATGACTGCTATCTTCCGCTATTAGTGTTGTGTATATAATAAAATAAGAGTACATAAATTAGTTTATTAGAGTTTCGTATGTGTTTTCAGGAATTTTTTTTTACCTTTTTTTATTCTTTTTTTTTTTATTGACAAAGAATTTTGCATTGGACGTATAATGAAGTACTCTTCGCGTTTTCTTTTAAGATATTAATATTATATTAGTGTTGCGAAATAGAAAAGATGTTCCACTCACGCGTTTGTTCGGATTTATATTGAGTGGATAATTATTTTGGTAACCCTTCTGGCTACCTTCTCGTCGGATTTTTCTTTTCAGCATGCTCTTATTGAGAGCATTTGTTATTAAAAATACTGTTAAATTTCTTTTTTATGATGAATATCTTTTTAAATTATAAATTATGTAACATTATTTTGATAATTTGATTTTTTTTCAGGAAATATAATGTTTCTTTTTTCAGATATAAATTACTAATCCAGTAATTGAGTTTGTTACAGATACGAATTGAAATAAGTAAATAGAAGAGAGAAGATTTAATTACGAAATAATGTTCAATCTTCAATCTTTATTTGTTAGAATCTAATTATCTGTTATTATTAAGTTGGTGTTTTTTTAAAATTTCTTTTATCGTTTGTGTTGCATAATGATAAAAAAATTTGAAACATACATCAAAAGAAGAATTTATGTGAAAAGTAAAGAAAGTTTTGTGCAAAAGAAGAATAGATATCGTGGATCTTCAATTTGCAACAATCTTCAAATGGTGAGACTTATGAAATCATTATTATTTAATATATAATATATAATTTATATCATATAATTAATTATAAATGATATAATTATAGCATATTTTATAATATGAATTAATTGGCTGCAAACGTGATTATATTTTTTGTAAATAGAAAATTTAGTAAGATAATAGAGTAATTCTTCGATTTTCTTATTTGATTTTTATTTTACTTTATATTTTTTAAATAATTTTGTATATATATTTGAATTATAGCATATTAGAAAGATATGGCATAAGAAATATTGATCTTTTTTGTTGGTACTTTAGAACATGTGATAAAAAGATATTTCGTTAGATGTCACTTTTATTCTATTTCTTGTCTTTATATCTCATCTATTATCGAGAGTCGGTAATTTATTGTCGGTAACAGAGTAGCAATGGATCTTTTTAGATTTTTAGATTTTTTCATGGGATAAAAAATAAATAGGATTATAAGTTTATTGTATATCGTTAATTAAATAATTATATTAGTTATTAGATAAAGTTATGAGCATTTTTAGCAAAGTTATTGCATATATAAATATATTTACATTAATATTGTGCTCCAATTTATGTTTTGTCGATATAGGAGAAAGTTTCATGTTAATTAACATTCCATGGTAATGTAGGTTATTTTAGAATTCTATATTACCATAATAATCAAACGAACATATTTCATATATTTTTATCAATCAAGTAACAAATAAAATTATTTTATTTACAATTTAAACAAAGAAAGAAGAATTATTTCTAATCATTATTATTTTCATTTTTAATATCTTTTTAATATCAGAAAAAATTATTTTGAATGATATATTTATTTAATTACTTTTATAATTTTACAAAAAAAATATACAAATATAGAGAAATCAAAATTATTGATTTAAACTTCATTCTTTCTTGAAAATAAAACACACGTCTTTTGAACTTAAAAACTTTGTTAATTCTAAAGTATTGAAAATTATTTGTCTCGAATTTCGCGTCACGAAACGCGATTTTTGGTGATTGATGAAGTATCGCCGAAGAATG